ATTCAGAAAGTCACATCTGAGAGACGATCCACTATGGAGAAGACAACTTAGGAGATTTCCCTTTGGTCTTCCTGGGAATAAAAAACCACACCTGATACAAAGCTGACTTCAGTAGATCTCTTATCATAACATAGTTTCATGGAATCAGCAGACGTTTTCAAGTTTGAAAGCACTTGATGGTGAATATCATCCATCCTTTCAGATAACACTTTCACGAACTCTGACAAATTTTCAGGCAACTCTTCGTAAGGTGAGCATCCTGTTATCAGGTCCACTGGCAAACGAAGTTCCCAACCAAACATCAACTTTGCTGGAGTATATCCAGTGGCTTCATGCTCTGCTGTTCTATAGGCCATCAACAGTGGAGGGAGTAAGACATCCCAGTCATCTTGGCAGGTATTACAAAACTTTGCCAATTCCTGTCCCAGTGTCCAGTTGTATTTTTCTACCATCCCATCAGACTGTGGGTGAAGTGGTGTTGTCCTGGTCTTTCGTATGCCAAACAACTTGCAGCATTCATGGAACATAGCTGATTAAAAGTTATGGCCTTGATCTGAATGCAGTTCGCATGGCATACCAAACCTGAAGAAGAAATCACTAATAGCCGAAGCTACAGTTGTAGCTTCCTGATTTCGTATTGCATATGCCTCAGGCCACTTGGTGATATAATCCATCACCACACAAATGTACCTGTTTCCTGCACGAGTTTGGGGCAAAGGACCAACAATGTCAATGACTACTCTTTCCATTGGTGTGCAACTTGATATAACCTCATTGGAGCATGTCCCTTATGCTTGGGTCCCCTTTTAGTACAACATGTACTGCATGTCCTGCACCATTCTTCCACATCTTGCCTCATACCTATCCAGTAAAATCTGTGTCGTAGGTGACTCAATGTCTTCTTAACTCCAAGATGTCCTCCTGTTAAACTATCATGGGATTGACGCAGCACAACTGCGTGACTTTCTCGGTATAACTGTTTGCCAGGTCGTCACTTTCCCATCTGCAGTTTCCCATTTCCGGACAAGACTACCGTCTTCAAGCTTCAACTGGCCCCATTGCGCCCAATAGTTCTTTGTCACAAGGCTTAAGCTAGACACCTTCTCCAAAGCAGGGCACAAAACACTTGCTTGTAGAAAATCAATTATTGGCTTCAAATCTTGGTCTTTCACCTGTTCTGCTTTAATATCTGTACTTGATTCCACTTCACCGTCATCAACTCCTTCAGTCAGAGATCATTAATGTTGCACAAGAGTATGAAAATTACGTACAGATATTTTGCACAGGATTATGTGAATTACGATCACATGATTTGTAATTTCATGGTCTAACAAATGGATAAAAACCCTACATTGAGATGTAAAAGTTAGTTCACGAGATATAGCTGAACTATTACTCAGTTTGTTAGTGATTTTGTAGTTTAAATATGGAATATTGTTATTCTGGAATTAGGTTTTTTATTTGTCTATTTTCTTAGCTGATTTATTGACTGAAATATTTATTAACTTGGATTTATATTTTGCCTTGTTCATTAATGCTAGTTTCAAGTCCTAGCCAGGCATAAATTTCTTTACTGTGTTTTGGTAAGTTATCAACTTTGTATTTCAACTGTTTGAAAGTCACACTTTAAATTTCTGTAGTTGTCAAAGTATAACTTGTTTGTTTTTTGTTCTACCTTGATTGTAGTAGTGAGTTACTTTAGACTGTAACAAAACTTGTGTAACAGTTTTCTGTTTGATATCAGTGGATTGTAGACAGTAAAAATTTCCCATTATACATCATATTTTAACTACCTTCAGACTTGTGTAACAGTTTTCTGTTTGATATCAGTGGATTGTAGACAGTAAAAATTTCCCATTATACATCATATTTTAACTACCTTCAGACTTGTGTAACAGTTTTCTGTTTGATATCAGTGGATTGTAGACAGTAAAAATTTCCCATTATACATAATATTTTAACTGCCATCAGACTTGTGTAACAGTTTTCTGTTTGATATCAGTGGACTGTACACAGGCCCCCCAGTGGCACAGCGGTATGTCTGCGG